CAGAATTCTATATCAATCTATTTCATCAGTCTGACTAATATTAAAAAGACTCTAGAAAAGTTATTTCATATTATAATAACAGATTCTTATACAAAACTCTCTTAATAATATTATAAATATCTAGATGTCTTCTGATAAGATAATAATATTATAAATTTCTCTCTCTTACAAGGTTCAGAAGTGAATCATAGTATTAAGATAAAAAAGATAAACAGTAAGAACTCTGAATTATTATAATACTCTCTTTATAATATGTGTCAAGATGAATTTCTTCTTCTTCAAAAGACACTCAATGATCTATTGAATAAAGAATTTATATGTATTAGTAACTCTTTCACTGCAGTTTCTATTCTCTTTGCAAAGAAATCAGATGAAGAACTTCAGTTCTGTATAAATTATCAAGAATTGAACAGATTAATAAAGAAGAATCATTATTCTTTATCTCTTATTAATGAAACTCTAGCTCATATCAGACACGCTCAATAATTCACAAAGTTAAATATTATTATCACATTTCATAAGATTCACATTATTAGACTGACCGTGTGACCGTGTCTAAAACCAGGATCAGATTTTTTGATAGTCTCATTATCAATTCAACTGCTCTCATTACACAGTTTTAAGATTAGATAGTAGTCTCATACTGTCTCAGTGAAACTTACTGTCTACTCTTATCACATTTTTCAAATGAAATCATGATTTTCACTTCTCAATTTAAATTATTTTTATTGCTTTAAATGACTTTAAATCTCATTTGAGTATTATCAAAAAGCATTACTTTTTAAAAAATTAAAAATAGTCTAAAGAAAACCTTAAAATGTCTAAAAATAGTAACTTTATGTCAAGAATGAGACTAAATGAGACCAAATGAAATCACTTTCTCATTTTTTTCAAGTCATGGTTTCATTTTAAGATCTGATATATAGTCACTTTACATGTTTTTTTGATAGCCAGTCCCAGCGGGATTCACGTCAAGAAATGTATGAGACCAGATTAAATGAGATTAAATGTGAAATTCATGATCCCGGCGGCCAATCTACACATTATTAAAGAAGATGAGTGACTTACAGTATTCTGAACACAATATAATCTCTTTGAATAAGTAGTCACACTCTTTGAACTGACTAACATTCTCAGTATATTTCAGAAGTATATCAACTGAGTACTCTGAGACTTTCTTAATGAATTCATATCTATATATCTGAATGACATTCTCATCTTCACTGATAAATTCAGCAAAGAATATCAAGAACATGTACAAAAGATATTATAATAACTACAGAAAGCAGAACTGCTGATAGATATAGATAAGTATGATTTTAAGATTAAAAGTATAAAATATCTAGACTTTATCATAGAAGCTGATAAGAGAATTCAAATGAATTCTGAGAAGGTCTCTACTATTCTTGAATGAGAGGCTTTATATACTGTGAAAGATGTACAAAGCTTCATCAGATTTACTAACTTCTATCAGCAATTTATACAAAACTTCTCAGATATCATAAGATTACTTATAGAACTCACTAAGAAAGACTCAGTATTTCAATGATCAGCAGACACTGAAGCTGCATTTACACAGATAAAGAAGATGTTCATTAATACTTCTTCACTGATAATATTCAATCTCAATTATAAGATAGTTATTGAAGCTGATTTCTCTAACTATGTTATAGAAGAAGCTATATTATAATATGATGATAAAGATATCTTATAATCATGTATTTTCATGTTTAAGAAACTGAGTTCTGCAGAATGCAACTATGAGATCTATGATAAGAAACTTCTCATAATTATACACTGTCTAGAAGAATAATACTCTGAACTCTGAAGTATCTCCGAATTTGAGATAATCACAGATCATAAGAATCTCAAGCACTTTATAACTACTTATAAACTTATTAAACAACAGATGCAATGATCTGAGTTCTTAAGTCACTTTCATTTTACAATACACTATCATTCTGACAGTCAGAACTTGATGATAGATGCTCTCTTATAACAAGAGTAAGATATATTATCTGATATAACAGATACTCACTGAATGAATCAAGAGTATCAGCTCTTGAATTTAAAGATATTAGTTAATCAAGATGAAACAGCTTATGATACTATATATACTTCTTCAATTAGAACATTCTCTCTCTGAACTGCTACTGACATTAACACTGATACTGATATCAATATCTCAACTGCTCTCAAATCTACACTGAATAAATTATAGCATGTAACAGCTCAAACTAATGAACTTCTTCAAATACTTATCAAAGCAGTATATCAAGAAGCATCTCAATTCTTCTCAGAACTATGTATAAGAATCAACATCTCAGAATACTCAATCAATGATAATAACACTCTGCAGTTTCATAAACAATGTTGAGTTCTCTACTTCAAACTCTTATACACTCAGATAATACAAGAGATACATGATTTATATATAATCAGTCACTCAGATCATGAATAATTATACTGAATAATCTCTTAAGAGTTCTACTGATCTGAGATATTAAACAGTATCAGACATTTCATTCAAAACTACAACTATTATTCTTTCATCATCTTATAAAAGAACTATAGAAAAAATCTACTGAAATCACTTAATATCTCTGATAGAATCTGATAAGATATAATAATTAACTTCACTGTTAATCTCTCTGAGAGTAAGAATTATAGAAACATTCTGATTATTATAAATCAATTAAGTAAGAATATAATATTAAAATCTTGTAATAAAATGAATACTGAATAAGTCACTAAAGCTTTTCTACAGAGTCTATTCTATCAGATATATAAATTACTGAGATTTATAGTATTAGATTAAAACTATTAATTTATAAGTACTCTCTAAATAAGAATCTGTCAAGTTCTCAAGATTATACACTGTCTATTAACTATCTATTACTCTAAGACTGATGATGTATCAGAGCAGATAATTCAGACTGTAAAGAATTATCTTTATAAGTTCTGCAATCACTTATAAGATAATTGATATAATCTGTTTTTATATATAGAGATTACTATCAATAAATAAGATATTATTTCAACAGATATAAGTCTATTCTTTCTTATATACAGTTATTACTTATAACTGAGTAGAGATCTTTATAACAACTATAAAACAAGATTAAAAGAATCAAATCAATATTCATCAAGATCTCACTAAATAATATAAGATAGAAGATTTGATATAATTAAATCTTAAGAATATACAGATTATATATTCATCTCATACACTGAATTATTATTATACTAAGTATAAAGTGATAGAAGTTTTAGATAGTTATAACTATTATCTTGATATATTATCAAAGATTTATAATATCTTTTATACAAGCTTACTTTACTACATCATCACTGATCTGTTCTCTTCTTAACTGACTTCTGACTGACAGCTGTCAGACATTATAGAAGAAGATAATAAGCTTAAGAGATTGAGAATATTCTTAATAAAAGATCTCACAGTCACAGCTGATAATATTTTATGAAATAAGACAGCTATAATCAACTAATCTGAACTTTAAGTTTTATATTATCTGAAACAGTAGTTTTTAACTGATAAGAACTGCTTCTGAAAGAGAGAAGTTAATGTAACAGACTATACCTGATTAATTGTATAGACTATTCTGTTACATTTCACAGATTTCAATCACTTCATTCTTGAATATATACACTTCAATTCTCAGTCATTCTCAATTACTGATTCTCAGCTGCTATAAATATATATACTTCAATTCTCAGTTATTCTCAATCATCAATTCTTAGTTACTATGAACATGTATAGATTCTTTCACTCTGAAGCTTCACTATATATATTATTATATATGTATATAAATATTCACTTCAATTACTGATTCTCATACTTTCTATTTCTTTTTCTTCTCTAACATTTTTCTCTTTGTTATATAAGACTTATTAATATCATACTGATCTATTCAGTGTAGGCCTCTTACAAGTCTATATAATTAATCAGGCGCAGCTTATCACAGAACTCATAATAAGCTCTGCTTGTATAAACTAGTCATCAGAATCATGAATTTCACATTTAATTTCATTTAATTTAATTTCATACATTTCTTAATGTGCATCTCACTGAGACTGACTATTAAAAAAACATGTAAAGTGACTATATATCAAATCTTAAAATGAAATCATAACTTGAAAAAAATAAGAAAGTAGTCTCATTTAATCTTATTTAATCTTATTCTTAGCATAAAGTGACTATTTTTAGACATTTTAAGGTTTTTTTAGACTATTTTTAATTTTTTAAAAAGTAATGCTTTTTAATAATACTCAAATGAGATTTAAAGTTATTTAAAGTAATAAAAATAATTTAAATTGAGAAGTGAAAATCATAATCTTATTTAAAAAATGTGATAAGAGTAGACAGTAAGTCTTACTAAGATAGTATGAGACTACTATTTAATATTAAAACTATGTAATAAGATCAGTTAAATTAATAATAAGACTATTAAAAAATCTGATTCTGATCTCAGATACAGTTATATAATCACTCTATACTTGTATATAAGTATAATGAAAGAATAATAATAATAATAATATTTAAATAAATTATATTTTAATATCTTCTATTTTTTTATATTTATAGAATTTTAAATTTATTGATTTTTTTATAATAATCTGAATTTCTGATGAAACTGTGTGCTGGTGAGTTGAGAGATGAGTGACTTGCTCGTCCCTGCGTGCTCTCTCTCTCAATCACCCACTTCTCTTCTGGTGTCTTCCATGGCCATGGTTGTGTATTTTTATTCATTCAGGGCCACTTTCGGCCTCCCTTTCAGTCACTTTGCTCACCCTGGCCACCCGCTAATCCATCATGGCTCCTCCCCTCCATCGCTGTCTCTACGTCGAGAGTTATATACCCACCTGCACACCAAGCAGGCCTGGCCTTCTATACAGCACACCGCGTCGGCTGGTCTCCACTCCTCGCTCCTGTCACCTTTTAATTGACCGTCCTCGGTTCGGGCCTCCAAACCGCTGTGAACATGCCAAAGTGTCATCGAAGCCGGGTGACGTCTAGCAAGGACAGTGACATGACAGACGAATTGTCCCACTTGGACATGAACAGCCAGTCTGATCAAGGATATGAGACTGAGTGGACTGAGCCCGATTCTGATGCGCCTCGCGACAGACACAAGGACAAATGCAAGCGTCGACAGCTTGTCTACAAGCCGAACACACCAGTCTCCAAGAAACATGCAGCTGCCACTGCCACCGACGACTCGGATGATGATACGGACCCCGAGGATGATATGGACGACGAGATATCATCGGGGGACGAGGACGATGACTACTCCCCTGGCGCCAGGGCCCTCATCGGTCGAATGGAAAATCACTGGCAGCGGTAGGCTCGCAGGAAGAAAGAGGCGGAGCCATCCGCGGACCCCAAGTGGCAGGACCCGATCAACACTGTCCGCACTGCAGGGCGACGTGATCTGTACCAGTTCTTCAACTGGCACTTCAGACTGAAGTTGAGGAAGGAAGGCTGTTGACTGAAGAGGATGAACAAGTTGAGTGTTCTGAATGATGACTGGAAGTTCTTCCTGCACTACTATGAGGCTGTCACTGACACCAAGGTCGACGGACAGCTGATGCGGCTGACACAGAAGATAAGTCCCAACTTCTCATCCAGCACACCGATTGATGAGGCTGATCATTGTGGAAGAGCCTTCAACAGCTGGCCAAGAAGCACAGGCTGGACACGCAGGAGAAGGAGAAGACCCCAGTGTATGTGAAGAACATGTCTCCACTTCAGAAGACTGCCCTGCAGATACAGGAGAAGAGATTTTGACTTGAGCTGCAGTAGATGCAGATCTGTCTCTACAACCTGCTGAGCCTCTTCACACTGAACCAGAAAAGTGCCATTCTCAACCTGCAATATAGAGACCTGAGAGTGTCACTTTAGCGGGATTCTAGCAGCGGGCCTCATCTTCTGACAGTGGAATTTCACTACAGTTTTATGAAGAAGCATCTCAGTCTCACACAGGCATATGTACTCTTCTCTGTCATTCTTATATATATACACTAACTGACTGCTGGTCAGAAACATCTTCATTCTATCTGAGATTATCTACAACTCATTACTAATTCTCAGTTCATATAACTTTCTCTTTGACATTCTGTTCTTCTTCAGTGTCTTCAAGATTATCAATCTCATCTTAATAAAGAAGCTCAGAGAACTGATGATTAAGAGTAATTAATAGCAGAACTCAGTCTCACTGAAGTCAGAGATGACTGATTACTTCATCTTCTACAAGATAATAAAGAAGAGTGATAAGGTTTACATCTTCTCTGAGAAGAAGATAAATTCTTTATCTGTTATTCAGATAATTATCAAGATTTACAGGTTTCTACATCTCTGATTTAATTATCACTGCTGATATAGTGAGAGTCTGATTCTTAATAAAAGTAATAAGAAGAAGAAGAAGCTCTTATCTCTTTCTATTCAACTAGATCACGTGAGAAGCAAAGACACTGATAGAGAATAATACAGAGTTAATTAGTGATACTAAGTAGAATCTGATTCTTAAGTATATAAGTATCTGTATCTTTCTAAACTACTATATTTCACGTATAGTAAGTATTAATATGCAGTCACTAATTAGCAGTCTGAATCTCAACACTTCTCTAATATAAGTGATTACACAGATTAGCTGTTAACTTGATAAATATATTCACAGTATCTGACAGATGTATAGAAGATAACTATAAAGTAGAATCTGAAGTTATAAAAAGTTATTTAGAAGAGAAATCAGACTGAATAATATACTGTACAGATTAATAGCTTTCAGATAATTGAGAAATTTATGAGATAAAAGAATAATATAAAGAAGATAAGAAACTGTCTTCTCTATAAATATAGAAAACAGATTCATGAGAAGTTTAATAATAAGTAAGCTGTAATTAACATTGAACAGCAGCTCTCTGACATGATATTAAATAATGAGATAAAAGAGATACTAAAGAAGAAATAGATACTTCTTACACAGATTCATCTTCTCTCAAAGCTTCTAATGTAACTGATATTTAAATCAGTGAAAGAAAAGCTGCAGTGTTAGAATACTGAGATTAAAGCTGTTTAAATGTACTGTGACATTTTCAAGAGTAGATTACATTGTGAAAGAAGATCAAAGACTTCTTTACTTTCACTCTTACTTTCACTTATATAAGTACTTGTGTAAGAAATCCCGCTTCTTGCAGATTCTTTACTTCTATTCCTATCTCTCATGTAATCAATAGAGCTAGCGGCCCTTGGCTACACACAACTATATAGACTGGAGTTCGCGAATACTATTCATAACTCAGCTTGAATGCTATTATACATTTGATCTCTACATTTATCTTTCTATCATGAACACTTCTAGTAGTTAACAGTACATATCACATCAAGCTGCAAACATCTGAATAATTGTCTGTGAGCACTTATTCTTACATTTCAAGCTCAGTCAGTCAGCAATCACTTATTATGACTGAAAGAACTAGAAACTTGTATACTTCAATCTCTGTGAACTCTACTACAGACACTCAGAAGCAGTCACCTGAACCATGAATAATCTTCATAAAAGAAGTCTCAGAGAACTTATCAATCACTCACAGAACATCATTCTCTGCATCTGTAACAGAGAAACCCTCTGAATCCATGAATAAATCAATCTCAGTGAAGAACATTCTTGAGCATCTCTCACAGAATTAAGCTATTTTTCTACAAGAAATGCTTACTATCTGCAAACACTCTTAAACTGAGTCTCTAGACATGATCTTCAGAGATACCTGTGAATCAAAAAGAAACTTTCTCAAGTCACAATCACTTAAGATCATCTATCAAATCACAATCTATAAAAGCTTTTACAAGTTTGCATTTGAAATTGACTTACAAGCTCAGCTGTGTGATATGAAAGATGAAGAAGCTGTCATCTATACAATGACAGGCCTCTATTACACTGAAGCTAAGAACTGACTGAATTATCTAGAGAATGATCATGAGAGATTCTGATGATCTGTTCTCAAGACCTATCTAGAGAACAAGTTAAGAAACTTCACAAGCTGAACAGAGAACACCTGAACAGTGATTATCAATATTAGAAAAAGAGATAAGGAATCTGATGAAGACTACTCACAGTGCTTTATAAAATTATAATGTGAATTGAGATCTGTGAAAACAGGGGCTCTGAAACAAGATCTGAATAATGATATTTGTAAAGAAGCTGAATAAAGACATGCAGAACAAGCTTATTGAGTAAGACTCTAAGTTCTTGACTCTGAAGAAACTGATGACTCTCATTCATCACTTACAAATCACTGTGAGAGTCACAGATCTGTAGAGAGCAGATTATCAACCAGCTCTGCAAGGGCCAGAATAACAGAGAACAGGTTTGTTAGAAAAAGATGACAAGATACAGAGAGATTTATATCTGACTGCTGAGCAGAGAGAAAGAGCTTTATAAGCTTCTGTAAATAGAGTGTATAACAGAGAGATCAAGAAAAAGAAACTCTGCTTTATCTGTTCTAAATCAGAACATCTTCATGCAAACTGTTCAGACAAATCAAAATAGAAATTTGAGAAGTCACAGACAGAGTCAGCAACAGCCTTCTTAAGAGTCTTGAAGCTGACACCTGAATCTGTTGCTCTCTCAATGAAAATGCTTGCTCACAGAGAGAGATCACACTGCAGTACTGCTGTCTCACAAGCATGAGAAGTATTGATGAACTCAGGATCCCAGGTCACTGTGATGTCTCTAAAGCTTGCAGAGTGAATGAGCTGAAAGATGAAGACTGAGAACCTGCTCTTATAACAAGCAGAGTGTGAGAACTCAGATCTGAGAACTGAGAGACTCATGAGAGTCATCTTTGAATTGCAAGATCTCTCTGAAATCTGAAGAAGATTTGCAGAAACTATGATTGTCATGAATATCACAGATGACATGTATTTGAAACTTGTATGACTTCAAAGACACAATCTATATATAGCTGTCTATAAGTCAGGTTTATACTTCTGATCAGTGTTGACAGACTCACTCACAGAGATAGAAGCAGTTGATGCTACAGAGTTGATTAGAGAAGACAAGCTCATCTATGTAATGACTTTATAAGTGTCTGAGAATCTCACAGTCATGGAAACTGAGCTTCAGATATCAGAGAAATACTGAGATCTTACAGAGATGTTCAGCTCAGCTAAGGCAGCTAAGCTTTCTTCTCACTGTGAGAAGAATCTGATAATAGATTTGATAGAAGAATAGAAACCCTTCTGAGAATCAATCTATAAGCTCTTTCATCACAAGACAGAGGTCTTGCAGACCTATGTAAAGAAGAATCTGAAGAATGACTTCATTCAATCTTCACAGGCCTCTGTGAAAGCCTCTGTGATGTTTACAAAGAAGAAGAATGAAGATCTCAGATTGTGTGTAGACTACTGCAACCTGAACTCTAAGATAATAAAGAGTCACTATTTCCTGTCTCTGATTGAGAATGTGATCAATCATCTCACAGAAGCTGTCATATTCACATAACTGAATGTAATTAATACATATACACAGCTGTGAATACAGTCTGAGAATGAATGAAAGACTGTCTTTAGAACTGCACTGAGATTGTTTGAATATCTAGTGATGTCTTTTAATCTGACTAATGTCTCTGCAGTATTTCAGTCTTTCATCAATAAAATACTTTGCACATATCTGAATGTCTTTGTAATAATATATCTGAATGATGTGATGATGTACTTCATGAAGAAGAAAGAACACACTGAGTATGTGTGAAGCATGTTGAAGGTCTTAGATAAGACAGAACTGTATGTTAAGCTCACAAAGTGCAACTTCAGTACTCACTGAATTAATTTTCTAGAATATGTAATCACTGTAGATGATATTCAGATGAAATCTTCACAGATTAAGACTATTCTATCATAGTCAGAGTCAACTAGTATTTATGAGATTCAGATCTTTCTGAGCTTTGTGAATTTCTATAGATGATTTATCTTTATATTTGTGAGAATCTTCTTAGTTCTTACAGACATGCTGAAGAGTGAAAATAAGAAGAAGTCATTCTGTGAACAGAGAATGAAAAGATTGTTGAGAAGAAAGAACTGTAAGAACTTTCTTATCTTAGAAGCTCACAGAGTCTTTACAAGATTGAAACAGATATTTATAAACACAGTGATACTGTTTCACTTTAATCTCTTACTCTTAATCAGATTAAAGACAGATATCTTCTTCTTTACAATTTCAGAAATAATCTTGTAACTATAGTCAAATAAGAACTGAGTTTCAGTGATCTTTTTCTCACAGAAGATGCAACCTGCAGAGATCAACTATAACATTCATAATCAGAAGCTTCTCATAATAGTGAAATTCTTCTATCACTGATATCACTACTTCAAGAATCTTGTAACAGTGATTACTGTTAGAACTGATTATAACAGCTTACAACAGTTTACTTCAATCAAGAAACTCTCACAGTAACAGATTCACTGAGCTCAGAGACTGAGTGAGTTCTGATTTAAGATAGAATATATTAAGAAAACTAAGAACTCAGCAGACAGACTCTCTCACAGATCAGACTATGTTAAGAAGATCAGAGCAATAGATACAGAGAGATTAAAGAAGACAGAAAAGCTTCACAGAATACTCAGACTGAGTGTTACAAAGAGATTGACTGAAGAGTCTCTCAATTCCCTATGAGAGAAGAGAAGAGAGAGAGAGAAGAAGCCTGTACAACTACTCTCTATGACACTGAGAGTTAACACTCTGAGAATCTCTGTGAGAATCCTTGAAGAGGGTATCTATAATCTGAAGAGTTTGCAGACTTTGAGAAGCACTGTGAAAGACCTGATGTAAGAAGAAACAGAGTACAAGTCTTCATAAGATCTTCTATTCAGATTGTCTGAACTACAACTGAAGAATGAATATACTCAGCATATTCAGAAACTGCTCACAGCAGGGATCAACTCTACAGAAATAAAGAATTAAAGAGACTTAAATGATCTCTTGTGAAGAGAGAGCTGAATTTATATGCCTGTGAATGAGTTTCTATACATAGAACTTATCAAAAGGCATTATGACTCTTCTCTAGTGAGTCATTTTATAGATACTAGAACTCATGAGTTACTTATAAGAAAATACTTCTGACTGAAGATGCAAGAACTTGTGAAGAAGATAGTGAATTCTTATACTATTTGTCAGAGTTTGCAGATAGTGCAGTTCAGATTATATGAAGAACTTACTTCTCTACTCATTCTGTGAGAACCTTGAGAACAGCTAGAAATAAATGCTCTTGTAAGCCTCTCTGAAAGCAAGAACATATATAATGCCTGCTTTGACAGTGTGCTGGTGATAGTGAATCACTTTATCAAGATAACACACTTTATACTCATCTGTAAGAACTTGAAGTCAAAGAATTTAACTCATATCTTCATCTGTGATATGATTCAGTTGTATGAATTATCTGCAAACATTGTCTCAGACAGAGAATCAATCTTTACAGAAGAGTTCTGATCTGATCTGATAACTATACTGAAGATCTCATGAGATCTAAGCACAGCTTTTCATTAACAGACAGATGATCAGATAGAACATCTGATGAGTATATTGAAACAGTATCTGCAGTACTTTGTCAATTACAATCAGAATGACTGAGTGCATTAATTATCACTCACAGAGTTTGTGTATAATAACTCAAAGCATGTCAGCACAGATAAAACCCTCTTTGAGATACTCACTGAGACTTATTCACAGATGATCTTGATGAATCTGTGAGAGTACACTATAGAGTATAATGATGCCTGTGAACAGGCTGAGAGAATTCAGAAGATTCAGAAGAAAGCTCATGAATTCTTGAGAAAGGCTTAAGAGTATTAGAAGAGATACTATAACTTTAAGCATATTATAAAGAGTTTCAAGAAAGATAATAGAGTCTGACTGAGTCTAGAAAATATCATTATATAGAGATCTAGTAAGAAGCTGAATCTCTTACAGACAGAGTCTTGTAAGATTATGAAGAAAGTTAGCTCACAGTTCTACAGATTGAAACTGTCATCTGAGTTGTAGATATATAATATTTTTCATGTCTCTTTACTTCATAAATATAAGAAATTCTCAGAAGAGAATTCTGTGACTCATCACTCTGTCTATGAAATACTAGAGAGTGAAAGAGAATATCAGATTAAAGAAATTATTGACTCAGAGAAGTGAGATTACAAGCTCTGATTCAAGATTCAGTGATAAGAATATTCTGACAAGATGAATAAGTTCACTTGAGAATTATTCAGACAGATAAGACATCTGCAGAAGCTGAGATATGACTTTTATACTATGAATTCTGACAAGTCAGAATGATGCAGTCTTTGTTAAGAATCTGATTATGATAAAGATATTAACACTGTTATTTGTAAACTCTAGTCTATAAGATAATGAGTTTCTACTGAGATGAACAGTCTGCAGTGTACACAAGAGAAGAAGAAAACATATTCTCATTAAAGCTAAAAAATAAGAAAATAAACAGGACTATGAATACAATTTAGAGATTAATAAAGAAAAAATAAAGAAAATTCACACTCACATTATCAATATCTGTGACACTCAATCTTCTCATAACTATCAATTTCTTCCTTCAAAGAAGCAGAGAGCATTATACTCATAATACAGATAATTGTTACATTTGATGTGAAGATCATTAGAAATACACAGACTTCAGAAGAGTCAGATATCAGAGTGTACACAGTTGCAGCAGAGCCTTGAAGACTGATTATCTGTGTATGTAATCAGATATCTCTTATAAAGCTGTGTCTGCTCTCTCAGTTATGCTGAAGTATTCAGCCTGAAAACAATGAAGACACAGAGAGAGAGCTCATCTATTCAGATCAACTTTCATTGTGAATTCATGACATTTGCATTGCCTTGATTACTCAGATTTTGCAGATACTCAGAGACTCATCTCTCATTAACAATGAAATTGTGGAAATGCACCGCGGTGTGAGAATCATTGATAGAAAACCTAGGCATATTTGCATATATCTGATCAGAGATTGTGTAGGCAGGAAGAGAGTGATCATAGGCCTGTGAGACTGCAGAAGACACTGACAATACTGAGAGCTTCACAAGAACTGTTAGCTAGAGTCTGTAAGGAATTACTTATGAGAAGACTTACAGCAAAGAGAGAAACTGCACTGCTTGAAGTCAGGGACTGATCTGAGAGAGGGATGAAGTGAGCTGCTGATCTGAAGATCAGGTGCAGTGATGAGACTGAGAGAGATGAAGACACAGTTGTGAGCAGCAGTGTCCCTGCTTCACCAGTCAGTAAAAAGCAATCAGAGAAGTCACAGAAATGCTCATAAGAAGCTCAGTGATGATCAGACATTGTTTACAAAGATATTGAAATTGAAAAAATTTTTATTCTTGAGAAGTTCTTGAATTAATATGTGAACATTGTCAGAAACACTCTCTCTCTGTTATCTGAGTGAAAACACTTTGTGAATGAATGAGAATACTCACAGTTTGTGAGAATGAAAGCTGTTACAGAAAAAGAGAAAAGAAGATAAGATTTCACAGACAGATCTGAGATATTTATACTACTCTAGAGAGATTTGTTTACACTGTGAATGATTCTGCAGAATAGTCAGATCACTCTAGTAAATAAGAGTGATTATAAATTGCAGATCTGAATCTTTCTATGTGATTATAAAGAGTGATTGCAGACTGCAGACATCTTGATTCTATAATTCTACAGAGTTAGTGAAAGAATGGAAAATTTCTCACAATTTTACAGTGTCAAAGAGCAATGATTTATGAGAATAAATGAAAGATCAACTCACAAATATTTCTCTTTAATGAGAATAATCTCACAGAGAGTGATTCATCTGTGAGATGAATCTGTATAATAATTATACAAGAATCTTGTAAAAATGATTGAGAGTCAACTGAAACTCTTCTATATGAAAGATGTGAGATGAATCTGTGTGATAGTCAGAGAAGAATCTGTAGATTACAAAGAATCTTGTGAAATAAGAAACTAAGTGACAGACTCTTTTCTCTTTATAATAATAAGAGATTTTTCCTCACTGAGATTTTTTATAGATGTGAAGAATTTTTAGTGAGTATTACTGCAGTGCTGAGCTGACTATGAAGTCACTCAGTGAAAGGCTTCACAGATGAAGTCTTAGAAAGAGAGGGATATGTAAGAAATCCCACTTCTTATGAATTCTTTATCTCTATTTCTATCTCTCATGTAATCAATAGGGCTAGCGGCCCTTGGCTACACACAACTATATAGACTGGAGTTTGTGAATACTATTCATAACTCAGCTTGAATACTATTATACATTTGACTTCTACATTTATCTTTCTATCATGAACACTTCTAGTAGTTAACAGTACATATCATGCCAAGCTGCAAACACCCGAATAATCGCCTGCGAGTACTTATTCTTACAACTTGATAACACTGATAATAGAAGTAAGATATATAATGAGATTTCACTGAAGAGATAAAATAATACTCTCTATACAGCTAAGAAATATATTCACAATATAAAGAAGTCTCAGAGTTACTTTAAGTGTTTTACACATTCTGAATCATTGAATTATCAGTATATTTATTAATACTTACAGCCCGCGGATCTGAGCTAGTATTTTCAGAATAATTATCTTCAGTATCTTAAAAATAAAGAGTCTGCAAACTGCAGCTAATATAAGATCAAACTGAAACATAAGATGTATATACAGAGTTATGTGAAAATGATTCACTGAGTTCTAATATAGACTGCAAGAGAGACAGAATCTGTGAACTGTTGTATTGACTTGATTTATTTACATATATATACATAATTATTAGAATAGTGTAGTAGTATCATGAGCTTGATACACTAGTAAGCTGACATCATTATTGACTTTGTTTATTAAATGATAGCTGAACTGAATTTACTTAGCAGAGTTAGAAGATTCTCATTCTGTATCTTAGATTAAATATATATTTATAAATATGTCTCAATCTGCTACATTTCTGAGCAGTCTTTTATTTAACAGCTACAGTCTCAGTTTCATCAGATTTCTATTAAAAATCCTTCACATCATTCTTTCTTCTCAAATTCAAGCTCAGTCTTTTTCTTCAAATATGCAAGTAACTTCTTAGTAAAGAAATCATCAATTCTTCATGTGTGTAATGTTAATGTGTGTCAGTGCTTGTACAAATTCCACTTCTCTGAGCTAGGAGCCTTTAAGCCAGATCTTCATAGATTTGAAGTAATCAATACTGATCTTTACTTGTTTTAGAACATTCAAAAGAAACTCTTTTCTTCTCTCATTGATTCTTGAATGAAATGCTCTCTGCCGTCCTTGGCTTGTTAAGGGTTATTAAACTATGTTTAATGCCTGCAGAGTAAAGCCATGCTTCTGTTGCTATAATTACAGTCACATCGGCACTCAATGCAACGCAGGCCAAGCATGCGGCTATTGCGCCGAGCTACATGAGACCAAGAACTGCAAGCAGAAGGGGGTAGAAGGCTGCACCCCCAGATGCACAGTCTGCAAAGGTGTCCACACAGCATGGAGCAATGCCTGCTCAGCAAGAAAGAAAGAGTTAGTAAGAGATGAACAGGCAAAGCAGGTCCGGAACATCTACTGGCACGTTATCTCCAAGGACGAATCCCCCAGGGACGACAACCCGCGGTCAAAGCACCGCCGTACACGCGAGCCTGCCGCCAACCGAATCATCGCAGTCGCAAATTCCCCTGAGGTGGAGCCCTCGGATCACGGAACCCGCGCCTTGGAACCTCCAAATGCGCGAGCAGGAAATTCTCTCCAGGAATCGCAGATACCCGTGGAGATCGAGGCTGCACGGACATTGTCCGCTACTCCAATTGCAGAGGACTGGGCGACACCAGCATCACCAGAAGAACCCCTAATCGACCCACAGCTACTGGCAACAGAGCGACTCCTGGAGGCCGACCCGGCGGCAGATGGCGTCCCGAACGCCGAGGTCGTGGAAATGGCGCCAATAGACGCTGCGTCAAGCCAGCAACCTCTATACCCCATTTGGGAAGAGTTCAACGTCCATGACGCGGACGCATGGCTGGCCGGATTGGCGGACAGTCTTCCCGAGGACGGACCGCACCTTCCCGAGACAGCGGGATCCCCGCTGACCTCCGTGGCAACGAACAACAGTACGGCACAAGGAAATATCTACAAAGGATGTAACTGCCCGGAGCACCAGGAAATCTACGGCAACTGGCCAACACGCGATGCCGAGCTAACAATCACTAAATGCATGAAGATATGCATGTACTGCGGCAAAGACTTTGAGGTAGCATCAGAACTACGCTCACATATAAGGAAAAGGGTGAGATATATCAAAAGAAACCTGACAGTGCGCATCGACCCCAAAGGCAAATGGAGCTCCGCCGAACCTGGGTGGACCCGCACACCCCACAGAGGAACGCCAACCCACCCATCAGATCCCCGAACAACTCGCAGCCAATCCCGCACAAACAGCACCGACGCAGCACTGCTCTCATGACGAGACACCAGGAACTACAGATCTTACAGTACAACATCCAGAATTCAAGAGACGTCGTTCTAGCAAGCCTATTCCAGGACCCCAGGATTCTAGAATACAACGTGCTAGCAATCCAAGAGCCCCGGCGTAACCCTTTCATCGCGACATCCTACCACCCTCTCAAAGCACACTTTCAACTAACATACCTCGACGACAACGCCACAAGGGTATGCTTTTACATCAACAAACGAATCGACCCAGGCACATGGAGTGTTTCACACCTGTCCAAGGACATCACCACCCTAGCCATCCGCGACCCCTCCTCAGGCAGAAATATCCGTGTATTTAATGTCTACAACGAAGTGAGAACCGACACACTCTCCACACTTGCTGGCGCTATCGACAGGCTGGAATCTTATAAGGAAGCCATAGTACTCGGAGACTTCAACCTGCATCACCCTCTCTGGTCAGCGGCACATCGACAGGCTAGATACGGGCCAAACGCCCAAGAGCTCCTCACAATTATTGAGAATTTCCAGCTGCAGCTTCTCACAGTGCCTGGAACCCCGACCCACCGATGGAAAGACGGAGAAATCAACCTCGCATTTGGCATCCCACATAATCCACTGCAAGATTAACAAAGACCTCGACTGTGACTCAGATCACCTTCCAATTACTCTAGCCATAGACTGGAGCTGGCAACCAGCAACCCCAACCCGAAAGCGCCTATGGGAAAAGACGAATCTGGTGAAACTCCGAAAAACCGTTGAGGAACATCTTCCTTGCCTGGTTGATGCCACGGAGCTCAGAGACAAGAACAGTATTGACAAGCTCATTTCTTCCATCATCAGTGCTCCTAGAGGCAGGTATCGCTGCATCAACTCCATGGTCGAATCCGTCCCCACACTCAGTCGCAGGTTTTGACCAGGAATGCAAGGACATGTGCTCGGAAGTTCAACAACTCCGCCGAAGATGGCAGCGATCAAGACAGGATGAAGACTACAAGGCCTATCGATAGGCGCGAAATAGAAAAGGCCGACAAATTAAAAAGATGCTCCATAACACTCATCGACAACAGGTCGAAGAAGCATCGACGTCACAGTCAGGCCTCTGGAATCTGGTCAAATGGGCCAAGAACAGGCACAACATAACACCTGCCTGCACCCCGGCACTGATCAGGCCAGATGGAGAACACGCCCGAGGGCCACTGGAAAAGGCAGAAGTGCTCCGCCAGTCCTTCTTCCCACCACCACCCCAAGCCGACCTTTCCGATATCGAAGCATATGAATACCCTCCGTCAATCGAATACCCGGATATTACCACGTCGGAGATTGAAAAAGCAGTGCGCGGAGCGTCCCCAAACAAGGCACCATGCGTTGACGGCATAACCAACGGGATCTTGCATCAGACGCTCGACATTCTCCTTCCAAATCTCTGCAAGCTCTTTAACGCATGCCTCGAACAGGGCTACTGCCCAACGCATTTCAAGGATACCATCACAGTAGTCCTGTGAAAACCAGGTAAGGACAACTATACACAGCCCAAGGCGTATAGGCCCATTTATTAGACAATTCATTGAAGTCTCTCACTGTATTTACAGATGTATTTACATCTATGTTAAGAGCTTCATTAAATATAACATCTTATGCAATCTTAAGACAATATGCAACAGAATTTTATACATGATATTAATATAATTCTTGATATTCAATCAGCTATTATTTCTTATCATCAGTTCTATCTGTGAGCTTATTCAACACTTTTAAATCCTTCTTATAGATCTTGCACTCTCATCTCTGTATTCAATGAACAGAAGATTACATCTCACTTCAAGCTTTAAAAGATATAAGTGATATTTCTTTCTTATATTCAAATATCTTTATTAATGTTGAGAATGTGTTGATCATCATAATCACAGCTTATATTATCTCATCTCAGAGCTCTTTCATCAGTTTACTATTAAATAGCAAGCTTCTTATCTTCTCTACAACTATTCAATTCATGCATTTCACTGAGTTATTCAATTATGATGTGTCAGATGTAGTCATTTCATATACTATTTCTTTACTCTGACAGTAGATCTTAAGTTCTTGAGTTTTAAACTCTTCTTCATCATCTCAGTGTAGAGTTTCAACTCAACATTGTATAGTTATCTTAATATTTATAATGAAATTTATTAATCTTGCAGCAGATTCTCTCTTTTTTATTATAAGAATTACTCATCTATAACAGATTGTATTATCTGTTATATTTACTTAATAACTCACATCTCTTCTAGTGAGTGTGTCATTTTCATTGAAAAGTGTTTTTTCACTCTCTGCTAGATCAATGAAGAATCTCATTATCAGCTTAACAGCTTATATTATAGATGTAAAGATTGAACATGTTATTTTTATCTGAACACAGACTTTGCAGAATAATAAAGCTTGTTAATGAATAATTATCATCTTTAGACATGAATCTGCTGTCATTTTTATAATATTCACAGAATTTAGATATTCTAGCTTTTAATATTATTATATCATTGTAAGTTTTATAATCTTTGTATTATTTCTATCAAAAAGTATTAATATTATGTTATCTTTCATCTGTAATATATTCACAGATTTAAAGTCATCATTAAGTATAGTAAACTGAATTAAGTCTCTGTATATAATCAGGATTTTCATCTTATAGATATCATTCTCATTTAATCTTACTGTAAATGAGAACATGTAATCAGAAGACATAATTAACATAGTATAATTATTCTTATATATTAACTGCTTACAGATATAACTCTGATATATAAGCTTATTTATACTCATTAAATTCACTTCTAGCTTCAGAATATAGTAGATATTATTTAACAGTATATTTATCTCTTTCACTAAAATCTTCATATCTTCTATAGCTGCAGTGAGAACTACTATTTCATCTGTTATTTTCAATATTAGTTTTATTATCTGAGATTTTATCACAATAAGATCTCTGTAAGATGTGACATGAGCACTTAATTCAGAGTCTAGAATTCAGATATCTTTCTATCTAACTACTTATATAGATCTTTTTCTTAATGTAAAATATTTACTTTATAATACTGTGAATAGAAGTAGTATCTATATTCTCTGCATTCTTATCTTTATTCTTATTTCTATTGATGTTGAAATTCAAATTCAAAGAATATTTCTCAGAGTATTTCTTTTAACAGTCAGTCTGAATATAATCAATCTTTTAATAATGATTAGACTGACCGTGTGACCGTGTCTGAGACCAGGACCAGATTTTTTGATAGTCTCATTACCAATTCAACTGATCCCATTACACGGTTTTAACATTAGATAGTAGTCTCATACTGTCTCAGTGGGACTTACTGTCTACTCTTATCACATTTTTCAAATGAGATCATGATTTCCACTTCTCAATTTAAATTATTTTTATTGCTTTAAATGACTTTAAATCTCATTTGAGTGTTATCAAAAAGTGTTACTTTTTAAATAATTAAAAATAGTCTAAAAAAAACCTTAAAATGTCTAAAAATAGTAACTTTATGCTAAGAATGAGACTAAATGAGACCAAATGAAACCACTTTCTCATTTTTTTCAAGTCATGGTTTCATTTTAAGATCTGATATATAGTCACTTTATCTGTTTTTTTGATAGTCAGTCCCAGTGGGATTTACACCAAGAAATGTATGAGACCAGATCAAATGAAATCAAATGTGAAATTCATGGTCCCGGCGGCCAGTCTAATAATGATAATATATCTTCACATCATTGTCTCTACATTCAGGTTTAAATTTGATATTATTATTCTTATCTTTCTCTTTATTCTTGTCTTTCTTTTTCTTGTCTTTCTTTTTCTTATCTTGTACATTATTGATAGACTGGCCGCTGAGATCATAAATTTCATATTTAGTCTCATTTGATCTGATCTTATACATTTCTTGGCATGAATCCTGCTAAGACTAGTCATTTAAAAAACTGACAAAGTGACTATATATCAAGTCTCAAAATGAAATCATGACTTGTAAAAAATGAGAAAGTGATCTCATTTGATTTCATTTAGTCTCATTCTTAGTATAAAGTTACTATTGTTAGACATTTTAAGATTGTTTTTAGACTATTTTTAAATTTTTAAAAAGTAACACTTTTTGATAATACTCAAATGAGATTTAAAGTCATTTAAAGCAATAAAAATAATTTAAATTAAGAAGTGAAAATCATGATCTCATTTGAAAAATGTGATAACATTAGACAGTAAGTCTCACTGAGACAGTATAAGACTACTATCTATTAAAACTGTGTAATGAGATCAGTTGAATTGACAATGAGACTATTAAAAATTCTAGTCCTGGTTTCAGACACAGTCACACAGTCAGTCTAATTATTGATAGAGTATTCAAATATATCAGTACTTGTCTCATTAGCAGCAGAGAGCTGTAAAAGAATATTATAGTACAGACTGTGGCGGGCTGCGCCCGATCAATCATATAGACTATTCCGTTACACTTCACAGATTTCACGTACACTCCGATCCTCGGCCATTCTCGATCGCCGATCCTCGGCCGCCACAAACGCGTACACTCTGATTCTCAGTCATTCTCAATCGCCGATCCTTGGCTGCTATGAACGCGTGTATATTCTTCTGCCCTGAAGCTCCACCACATACATGTATAAATATCCACCTCAATCACTGATTCTCACACTTTCTCTTTCCTTTCTTCTTTAACATTTTTATCTTTGTTATATAAGATCTATCAATATCATACTGATCTATTCGGTGTAGGCCTCTTACACTATAAAAACATTCATTGTCTTCTTATTAGAAAACAATTATTCACACATTATCTTCTCATCAGAAACAATTATTCATTGAGAGATATCTGAATGCATAACAACATGTAAGAAAGAGAAAACACAGATAAGTGAACACTGAGTTCTCAGATAGAAGCTTGCTCATCAGTCACTCTAGCCTCATAACAAGATCTTATGAAGAGAATAAAATCTTATAAGAGAATATTAGCAAAAGACTTAAGAGTTCTGACACTCAGATATATGAGATATTCATACAATTTCACATTCAACAATCAATATAATCATGTCTAACAATAATATGAAACTCTCAAACATGAGTATAGATGCAGTGCCACAGTGGCTCTGAGCAATGTTAAAACTACAATAACAATAAATAGCTGATATGCATGCAACTCAACAATATCAATATGAAGAAATTCAATGATTATTATAATAAGAAACTCATGCAATTCCAGCATCTACAGAATTGAATATAAAAGCACTGAAAGAATGCTTAGATACTCTCACATATTTTAATACTTCTGATCTCACTCTCTACTCATTATGAAGAATGGAAATACTCATGAAACTGAGTGTAGATGAAGATTTCATTGATTTATTAATCAATCAAGATTGATATATTAATAGATGATTGAAGAATCATGTAAAACAGAAGTTTCATTCATGAATGAAAGCATGTGAATCAGTGTTGTGAACATCTGACAATATTATGAAATATCTTGATATTCTGTTCTGAGATACTGCCATGCAATAGAAAGTATTAGATTAATTACAGAGTGTCTGACAGAGAAACACTTCTCTTATAACATTCATCTCTGACTTCAATATTAAGATTCTAGAAG